TTTTTTCTCCATAACGATCCAGTAGTTTAGTTCTTCCTCTATTTACACCCATTTTTGTCCTTTCCATTTCCAGTTCTATCAGTCTAGCAAATTGACATGTCTTGTAGTACAATTCTAGGGAGGGGGCTCCCTATCCACCCATTTCTTGGATGCCATAAAATATAAAGTTAGAGATTCTATTTTTATTTTCACTCGCAACTTTTTTTAATGGAGTTGTCCCACTTCCTGAATAGTTTGATGGGGTTATTTACCAGCAGAGTCTGAACTAAGTATAAAAATCTGGATAGGATCTTCAACTCATACATTTTTAATTTTGTAGTGATGTCCCGAAATTTCTTCCCCCAGGTGTTAAGTAATTTGCTTGTGTTTTTTCATGAGCAATTGAAGTTTGTTTGAATAATGTTTAATTTTTTTGGAATTTCTACTCCCTAGATAGTTTAGCTTCCTTTTTCCCAATCTCATGCCTATGTTTGGGGTGGTTTTTAGTTCTTTCCATATTAGATTCTTGTGGAGGATTTCTGATTTTCCAAAATTAATTGTGAGCCCTGAAATTTCCCTGAAATCCTTAATTGCCCGTGGGACATTCCCCTTAGTTGATTGCTTGAAATTATTGTCCCCTCATTGCTTGGTACTTGTGTTTTTCCAACTCTCTCTTTAGTCTTTTGTCCGTTAACTCCAGGCCTTGATAAACTACTGTTCCCACTGATTATGTCACACTCCCCCACACTACCTAGTTTGAAATCCGCCTGATCAGGATTGCCAGTCTCTGAGAAAAAACTTCCTACTTATTGAGGTGCGACCCATCCCATGCCATTAGGCCATCTTCCTGGAAAAGGAGGCCATGGTTCAGGAAGCCAAATTGTTCTTCCTGACACCATCTGTGGAGCTAGCTAGTCACCTCTACTGTTTTTCTTGCTCTTCCTGGGCCCCATCATACAATGGGGAGGAGAGATTAAAAGACTACCTGGACATTAAGATCTTTTAGCTTTCTTTCGAGAGCTTCAAAATCCTTTCTGATCATTTAAAGACTATGTCTTGCAGTATCATTGGTTCCTACATGAACCAACATGAAGGGGGGAGGGTCAGTGGGCTTGATGAGTCTTGTCAGCCACTGAGTTATGAGGTGGATTTTTGCCTCAAGGAGGCAGCCTATTTCTCTAAACATCCTATCAGGTTTGCAAATCACCGCTTCTGTTCCTTTCAGGAGGGAGTCACCTATGAACAACACCCATCTCCATTGAGAATTGCCAGGATTCCTTTCCCGTAAGGTGTTCTGCAGATCTCCTGAAAACTGACCCTGTTGCTGAACTGAATTGTGTAGCTCTAAACTGGCCTCCTCCTCAGAGGCATCCCCCCCTGCATTCATCAAGGATAATACAGTCTGATATGTCCAAGACCCCCTCATTCTCTTAGTGTGTTCTTGCTCTGCCTCATCTATGATTGGGGAAAGAGCACCTGCTTCATTCTGTGACTGCAAATTGTGAACTGTCCTCCTCCCCAGCTACATCTCCCATGCACTGATCAAAGACGGTCCACTCAGTTGTAGCTATGAACCTCTCATCCTCCCCAAGGTGTCATATTTCCTCACCATCTGTTACTGGTGAGAGAAATTGAAATCGATTGTGTAACTCCAGATTAATAGAAGGATCCACAGAACGTTGCCTGGTCTTCTTTCTCTTTCAAAATGTACATTTTTTTCCAAGCATAAGTGTTCTCCACATTTGATGTGACATCCCCATACCCCTGCCCTGAATGTAGAACTGATGTGAGTTGTGTATCTAGAATGGTCTCCTGGGCTGTGTCTAAGAAAAATTCAAGTTCCTTAATGCCCTGAAGTGTCTTGATACAGGTCTCAAGTTGTTGGATCTTCTCTTCCATTCAAGTCAGCTGTTTGCATTTGCTGCATATGTAGCTCACTAGATGTTCTGTCAAGGTGAACACCCACAATCCCTGCATGTGACTGGAACAGCTTGCCCCCACTCCATATCCAGGTGACTCAGGTTACCAAAAAAATATTTTTACTGAACTGTGGTCCTCCCTCTCAAAATCCCTCAGTTCTCTTCTTCACTATATTTTCCGAAGGAAACATAGTGGTTAAGATGGCTCCTTGCTTCCTTCTTTTTTGGTTACTGGAGCTAGCGCTGTCTCCAGAAAGGTCAGATGACCTAGCTGAAGCTCCACCCCTTGAAGGCATGACAGTTGCTCCTCCTCTTGAGCACAGAACCAAAGCTACCCCCCCCCTTAAGCACAGTCTCATATACACAGCCACAAACATAAGGTTTCAAACAAAGGGATCAATTCACTTTGAGATAATTTATTCATTTATTTACAGTATTTATAAGAGCAATTTGAGAAGACCTTGGTCTCAAATTAAATTCTTGACTCAAGGTAGCACTGTATTATGAAAGACATTGTGGAGTCTGGGAGGAGTGTGAATGGGGAATGGCTTAAGGATATGAATCTTGGGGAGTTAATTGATACTAGCCTCAATGAACTAAGAGGATGACCTATTTGAACTGCCAGTTCCCAAAGCAAAGGCAATACCAAAGAAAGAAATGCAAGGATACAAGTTTATGTTGGAAAATATTGCAAAGTGTCAGTTAATTAGAACTGGGCACACAGAAGGCATGGGAGAGTAAGGCATGAGCTATAATGTAGAATCATCTTAGGGCATTTGACCAATTGGTCTGGACACTTATGTAGTAACACCTCAAAATGTCATCTTTGCACTGTTTTGCCTAAACCTTTCTCTCTGGTTGTTGCCTGCTGTGTTCTAAAATGGCACCTTTAAGAAATTGGGGTGAGAATGAAGTCCTTGAAGCTGGAGGAATTGGTAGAAAAGACATTGTCTACACCAATATTTTTCAAGAAATGAAGAGGCAAAAAAGCCAATAGATTTAAAGAAAACAACACCTAATATTGTACACTTAATATTGACTGTGTTGCCTTCTTTACCCTGCATCACTATTATTTACATCCCACTTTATCTCTCTTAAAAGAGTCCGAAGTGGCTAACACTCCAAACAATACAATGAACAATTTAAAACCTAAAAACATACAAACAATAAAATAGGATTAAACACTACAACCTACTAAAATGTATTAAGCTTATTCAAATATATCAGTAGAATGTGGTCTGTGTGGTATCATTTGAAAAATCATATGGAAATCAAGCTGGGCCTGCTTTTGATTTCTTGGGATTTGAGTTTCATTTTCTTCCTACTACAAATATTCACTTTTCTTTTTTCAGCCAGTTACTCTATTTCAAACGTAGAACTTTTTAAAGAACAAGCTATATAATGTTTTAATAATTTTAACAGTTTTTACTTGTGTAATGTGGTTTCAATTTACTTGTTCTAATGACAGTATACTTAATTCTATTTTAATATTTATATATTGTAGGTTTTAAATGACAGTTTTTACTGTTTGGGATCTCTTTTACTTTACAATGGAGACCTCATTGAGTTACAATGGGTACACATATATAAATATAACAGTATTTGCTATAGTAATTATAACAAAATGGTAAAGGTAAAACTTTCTCCTGACATGAAGTCTAGTTGTGTCCGACTGGGGTTGGTGTGCTATCTCTAAGCCGACGAGTTGGCGTTGTCCGTAGACACATCCAAGTTCATGTGGCCAGCATGACTGAATGGCGCACAGTTACCTTTCTGCAGAGGTGATACCTATTGATCTACTCACATTTGCATGTTTTCATGTAGGGGCAACAAAACCAGAATATTTCCCAAAAAGGCAGAAGCCCTTCCAATAGGGAGGGCAAGGATGGACACCATGAAAGTAGAATCTTTTAAACTTCAAAAAAACTATTTATTATTGCATGGCCATAGCAATAACGACAAACAAGCATACAGGGATGCAATCAAAGGGTTTGTCGCAACCCCCAATAGGGCTGCAGAGCATTTATAGTAAATGGAATATACATTTTCATTGGTTCCCAAAGACAAATCATTTCATTGGTCTAAGTTAGTTATGCAGTTGTTCATTTGTTGTTCATGATTTTGATTGACATTATAGCACACGTGGGATCCTAACAATGGCACAACTATAACATAACTATAGTCCATTGTTCTCTGACCATGACTGTATCTTATCTGTTAGTCTGTTGCAAACATGGCTTCAGAGCGACTGGGAAACTTGGGGGTTCTAACTAGCCAACAGCTAGCTGGTTTTGTCTGGATATGTTGTTATCCTTGAATAGTAACTTCTTCTTTGGAGCACTGATTTCTCAACCAATCAGCATTTTCTGTGAACATAGGCCTACTGCAGAAATAGTGGAATTTTGTGACTTAAAGTTTTAAAAGAAATAGGCCAATATGGCAGTAAATCATGACATATGGGCATTGGGGAAATATCTGAAAATTCCCTTTTTAAAACCACGTCCCCTCCATTCAAACTGCTGATTGACAGAAGCTGGGCCTAACAGCAGCTCACCCTGCTCCCTGGATTTGAACCGCCAACCTTTTGGTCAGCAAGTTCTGCAGCTCAGCAGTTTAACCCACTGTGCCACCAGGGGCCCCACACAATAACGTGAGAACACCTTCAACAGCTTTTGCTCTCCAGTGAAAATGAGGTTTCATAATGGTCACTGCCATCGTTTGCTTCTATTTGGGTCGTTTTTGCATATATCATGGTCTCCTTGTTCTCTCCCACAATAAATTGTTGTATATGTACTTCTTGAGTTTTTCCTGAAAAAAGGCCTTTCCCACTGAGGTAAAACTAGTATCCCCGATCCCCGTTAATTTCCCAACGGTCCCACAGAACCTTTTTCTACCATTTTAGGAACCCACAAGAACCCCTTCAACACAAAATGGTGGCCGAGGTCACAAGACGTCTCGTGTTTTCTCACTCTTGGCCCCGCCCGCACTGCACATGCGCAGTACTCTCTCCTCGTTCCTACTCAGCCAATCGCCGTACATGGTGGCGCGGAAGTGAGCAACCCAAGTCTAAGATGCGCATGCGCCCAAATCTGGGTCAACTAGCGGGTGGACTTGCGAAGGCGCATGCGCGGAGGAAAGTGGCGTCGGTTGGTCTGCCGGGCGACTCCTCCCCTGCCTCTTGTCCGCCGCCGCGGAAGTGACTGGGCTTGTTTGCTCTCCGAGTGACGTCGGTTGCTCTTGGAGGTCTTTCTCTGCGCGCGGAGCCCGTAAGGGAGAGTTTGGGACTCAAGTGAGGTGAGTGAGGGGTCCGCTGGTAGTCGGCCTCGGGGCCCAAGCGGGCGAGGGAGGGTCGGGGCCAGCGCCACAGGACTAGGCCTTGCCGCGGGCTTCTTCGGCAAGGCCCAGGGAGAGGCGGGCAGTTGCATGGCGTTCTTTGGGCCGAGGGGGTGGGGATTCCTGCCTTCTTCCTCTGGGCCTCTTAAGAGACGCACGTCCAAGGTGAAATACCCCTTTCGATAGGTATTTATCACATTCTACTTGGAGAGGGCAGCTGCACTTTGGAACTAATGCTATATGACACCACTTTAACTGTTATGGAAGAATTTATACATGATAGCCATGTATAAATATGTGAAAGGAAGCCACAGGGTGGAGGGAGCAAGCTTGTTTCCTGCTTCCATGGAGATTAGGACGCGGAACAATGGCTTCAAACTACAGGAAAGGAGATTCCATCTGAACATGAGGAAGAACTTCCTGACTGTGAGAGCCGTTCAGCAGTGGAACTCTCTGCCCTGGAGTGTGGTGGAGGCTCCTTCTTTGGAAGCGTTTAATATGAGGATGAATGTCAGGGGTGCTTTGAATGCAATATTCCTGCTTCTTGGCAGGGTGTTGGACTGGATGGCCCGTGAGGATTCTTCCAACTCTTTGATTCTATGATTCTATGAATCCTGTGGAATTTTGTGACTTAAAGTTTTAAAAGATCTTTAACGTTCTCTGTGCCTCACCAAACTACAGATCCCAGCATTCCGTAGCATTGAGTCGTGACAAATAAAGTGGTGCCAAACTGCAGTAATTCAGCACCCTAAAGAGCCAATTCCCAGCGCCCCAAATACAGCAGACCTCCATAGACGCTTGAGTTTTAGGACTTTATCTTTTCTACTTGAACCTTGCAGTTTTTTCCCTTAATGACTCCCCCACTGGACAACCATGTTGTGTGTTTGTACGCACAGAGAACCAGTTAGGAAAGCAGGCAATCTTAAATGTGAAAACCTTGCCGTGACTTCGGGGACAAATAAAGGAGGTAGAGCAGTAGTCTCCTAAACCATGAAACATTGCCACTAATTAGTCTTTAGCCCCTAATTCACTCTGATCTGACAATCTGCTTCTGACGTAAAAGAGTGTGCTGTGCGTTCATAGTCACTTCCAGGGATTGTTTATAAACAGTGCTAAAGCTGCCGTAGGGAAAGGGGGTGGGATTAGCTATCACCAAAGCTTTCATTTGTTCACAAGGTACTATTACAGTAATTATCTGGAGCATGATGATAATGTGTGTTACTTGGGAGAATATTTTCTTCTTTTAAAGAGGAGCCTGAAGTATTGATTTTTACTGTCCTGGTGGTCCATTTACTCACAGATTCTGGAAAGGAGTCAGGAAAGGAATCTTCATCGCAAATCATATCGTTCACGCTGGACTGAAGTAATCACTAGGTAAGTTTTCTGTTTCTTGGATAGCTGCATTGAATTAAATACTGGATTATTACATTGCATGTAATTTCTAACAATGCATTTTCTGGTGAGAAATACAACCCAAAAGGTTAATGTTCCATTGAAACATACTTTCATTTTAAACAAACATTTTAAAGCATATCAAACATTTTAAAGCAATTTTGTTTGTTCAGTTTCACAGTAGAAGGTTTCAAACATAAAGATGGGGAAGATTGTCAGGTTTATGCTTCTGGAACCGGGCTGGGAAAAGTAGACTAAACTGTCCGTACCCATTGTTCTACCCTATAAAATTGCTATACAGAATTTCAGAGGAGCCTCCTGAATACTGTTGATAATGATGCTCCAAGGAAGGTAAATTTTCCTCGGACTGACCATGGCCACCTTCCTGCAAGCAAAGCTTGCCCATTCATACAGGGTGAGGCAGCATAACTTCCTTTTTTCAAAACCTAATAAAACCCATTGTATGAATTAGATTTTTTTATTTTTTTTTAATGTAGGCACATACCTAAAGTTTTGTTTTATGTAGTTTTGAAGATCAAATTAGGTAGGTGACGTCCCCCATTCTCCATACACTGAGTAAATCGATTTCTGGCGTTTGTCATGACTCTTGCCAGCATAGCAGGCGTTATGTTGGCAATTTCTTCCTGGATGTTGGTCTTCAAATCTTGTAGGGTCCTTGGATGGTTCACATAAACAAGGGATTTCAAAAAACCCCATAGAAAAAAAATCACAAGAGCCCAAATCTGGAGAGCGGGCTGGCTACTCCAAATCTACTCGAAAAGTAGGCCTCAACGGCAAAAGCACGCTCCTCACTGTTCCAACGCATGATGGCGACTGAACTGTGTCAGGACAAAACTTTATACTCCCTCCTTTTGAACGAGTCTAGTAGCGCTCTGCTACGTCTTCAACCGACTGAATGGCGCACATTTTTAAAAAGGAAGTTATGCTGCCTTACCTGTATTAGCTATGGACCCAGCTCAATAAAGGAATTTATTGAGCTCCACTCACCCCCTCCTACATTCTTTTCAGAAATACCTGTTGTCTATATCCAGTTTATTCCTTAATCTGTAAAGCAGTCAAAATATTTCTGTTCCTTCTATATTAGGACCAAATTAAGATTAAGTTTATTCTAACAAGCATCCATACCAATCTTAAATATTATTTAAATAGCCAGTTGGAATTTATCCAAGACAACTAATTGAGCATTATTGGGAAGTTTTCATACATTAATCTATGGTTGAGTAGATTTGAATAGATGTCGTAAACTGAACACAAAAAGTATTCAAGAGGCTATTCACAAGTTAAACTGTGAATCCAAACTTTTCAAATATCTATTTCCATACAATAGAAATATATGTAGCTCTATCAAAAATGATCACTAGATGCATCCATTAAGATAACTAGAAGTTGTGGCTAGTTTGAAATTACTTTATTATTATGGTTATTTTGACACACCACCCATACAGCAATATAACATTGTTGTAGTTATACATCATTCTTGTCTGCTAACTGCTGTAGACACCAAGTTGGTTTGCCTTACAGTCATCATTGACTGTGTTAATGAGTACTCTCAAAATAGCCATGAACTGGTTCAACTAGTCAACTGTTTGCACATGTCATGGTTGCTCACTGTGTTTATGGGCCTATATTGCAGCCATTCTGCTTTTAGCCACTTTAAAAGAAACTGGTCCTTTGAATTTGGAAATTTTTCTTCTTTATTGAGCAGTAATCGTAAGGTTTCACCAAAGGCTTTTAAAAAAATCCAATGTAATAGTTTGCCTATTTGGACTACCTTGCCTGGTCATCTGAATAATTCTTACAGCAACAATCCTGCTTTTACTTTTTTTTCCCCCTAAAACAATGTTGACATACATGTAAGATACAAGCCATAACCCAAGGGAACATGAATATTTGTGGTTTTTTAATTCTGTAAGACCTAATTCGATTAATGCTTGCATTTTTGAAATCTCAATAATGGAAGTGGTGATGTTTACTGATTGCTATTTCCTGTGGCAGTTCCCTTAGCCCCCCTGACAAATCTGCCTTGGAATTACCTCATGGATAGTAGTACTGGGAGTTGAATAAATTGTTGCTGCGGAGTTCTTTCTCATACTCATTCTTTCTGTAAACAGAAGTTGTCTTTCCATTCATGGAGGGGAAAGTCTGGATCCAACCTTCTATATTTAGAATGCCCACAAACCACTAAATCTTTTTACTCCTTAATATTTTTATTCATCCCTTTATTTATATCTTTTTCCAAGACTGAAAGATTTACCAATTAAAACATACAATACCTTATATTCATTAAAAGCACTTAAAGTGATTGTATAAATACTTTATTTTAAAAAGTAGCTATATATTTTTTAAAAAACCCAAAACACTTTAAATAACAAATGAAAATGTTTAGATATAAAACTAAACCTAAGTTAGAGTAGTATTTAAATAAACAACACAATTCAGTACATTAAAGAAGTGAATGTGTTTTCTTCTGAATCAAACTCCCTGTTATTCAGGACTTCATTTTCAATGGGAAATGGTTGGGAGAGAAAGGATAATTATGTATGCTCCTTGAAAAAGATTCTTACCACTTTTTGGACTTGAGTATAAAGCAAGTCTTTTGGCGTTTTTATTTGACCCTTTCTGCAAAGGACTAGACAAAAGATTATGAATACACACACCCTTCCTGTTCTTACTATAGCTCATCATGCACTGAGGGCAAGTGGCAAAACAAGGTGTCAGTTTGTGTGAACAGTGAAGGTAAAATTATTTCAATGCCTAAATTTAGACTTTGCTTCTAATGGGAAAACAAATACATTCTGTGTGGTGTTCTAAAGGGGCAGGCTTCATTGTGGTCCTTAATTCTTGTATATACAAGCGAGTTTCAAGCTCAACCCTGAAGTTCTGTTTTGGCAAACTAAATTAAAATATCTTTGCTATTTTACCTAGCCTAGAAGTGCAACCAGACAGATGTGTGTGATTGACTCATGGCCGCAGATAACCCAATTCATTCATCCAGTGTTAGCTGTAACTTGGACACATTCTTTAGGTAAGAGAATGCTGATACAGAAATATATAGATTGAGTTGGGTTTAACATAACACTAGGTTTAATGCATATTCGAATATCATCCATAAGGATTTTTTGTTTGTACTTTGTTTTGTGCAAAAAATAAATCATATGGTTATAGTTATGTTTTAAGTACAAAAGAATGATTGAATATCTTTTATCTTGAGAACTATTGATAATGGGGAAGTATTTTAATTCTTGAACTTCAGAAAACAGAAGGTTTTATAGTAAAACATCAGTGATAGATTGTGGACAGGATGCTTGTGAATTCTCAGTCATCCTACATTTTTCCAAGTTAAGTTCATAAAAGTGTTATCTTGCTCATGGGGAAGGTTCCCGATCACACACCATAAGCCTATGCATTCTTATGTGGAAGCAAGACTCGATGTCTTTATTTCTGTATGTACTCTCTGATGCTAACATTAGAGCAGCTCTGCTGCAGGTGGCTGACCAAATGTCTGAGGAGCCTACAACCAAGGTGTGAACCAATTTGTTTTTGAGATGGGGTGACCAAAAATCTACATACTGTACTTTAGCATGGTCACACCCCATATTTAGATGAGTATTGTCATCTTTGTTTGTTTTGAATCCTTTATTTAAAACCTAGTACAATGCTGCTCACAGTTGTAGTGTATGGACTGGTGCTAATCACTGAGATATTGGCTGCTGGTCTGTGGTATTTTCAGCAGCAAAGGAACACACAACACAGCAAATAGTTTCACTGAAAAAATAGTCAGTTTCATTCAACTAATTACCAGAGTCTTTCCTAGATTGAGACCTCTATTTGGGTGAAGTAAAACCATTGTTACTTCTACCATTGTGAGAGCTATTTGTCCATCTTTATTAATGTGCATGGTACTGAAGCATTCCACAACTAACCCAAAATTGTTCTAGCAGTTTTTATTTTTCTGCTTGTTGCAAACTTGTTATAGGATTGCACATTTGAGTTCATTAGAGAATTGCTGCTTGGCAGTTGAAAGTTTTTGGGGGAAACTCAATTTGTGTTCTAATTTTTTCTTTGCCTAGTTGTAATGCATGCATGTGAGTGATCATTTGTGTTTTAAAAAAACACTACACTGGTAAATGAATGAGGCTAGGTGATGCTTGAACTTGTATGTACATTCATGAGGTAACTGAAAGCTTTTGCTTCCTTTTTAAAAAAAACTAACTATAGTTTAATGCTGTAAAAGGTCATTAATTTTAGTTAGGCTTTATTGCATAAACCAAAGTATAAAGTTGACCTTTTTAAAAGCCAACTTGGCTTTCTCTGGATGTGTGCATAATGCTAAACTGCTGTTAATTTAAAAAGAAGGGAAAATATATTCCCTCTGCAGTCACATGGGAGACACCAGTCTAAGGCTTGTTCATATAATTAGTTCTGTGTTACATTTGTAATAGGCATGCTGTCCCCTTTCCCAAGGAAAAAGAGATGTGCACATTGCAGATATATGCATTGTATTGTATTTCTATAGATAGAGAAATATAAACAAAAACAATACTCTGATTTTGACCAAGCATGACATGAAATGTGGCCAGAGATTTGTTGTTGAGCATTCACACCATGAAGAGTAAATGAGGTAAATTGCTTAAATACAATGGGTTGTTTATTAAATTTCATATGAAACTAATTGCATAGAAGAATACTTTTTGGCTGACAGTTTGTAAAATAACACTACAATAAATTAACCATTAGACACTACTTTCTTTAAACCACAACATATCAAATCATTTGAAAACCAAGAGATTGAATCAGACTTTCAAATCTGCGAAAGTCCATTTGTTTGGAATATTTTGAATTATTTCAGATGATATAAGAGATTATTGCAAATGAATTGTCTTTGTAATCACAGATTATCACTCTGTACATGTTTACATGATTCTTCACAGATCAAGCTAAGGTAAAGAGAAGTCTGGCTAGAAGGAGTTTATAATCCATGGTACTATAAGTAAAAAGTGCCCATGTATAGCAAAATAAAATCACATTTCTATAGATCACTTTGTCAAAGACCTTTTCATTATGCAAATTTATCCCAGTATATGTTGCACAGCTCATCCTCCATATCCACCAATTCTGAATCCATGGATTTAATTGATGCTTGAAAACYCCCCCCCCCCCCCCTCAAATTACTTTGCCATGGTTTATAATGGAACTTGAGTATCCACAGATTTTGTTATTCCTGGATCCAAACCTTCACAGATACTGAGGACCCACTATATACAATAGTATTGATAYTGTAAGTGTTACCAAGGTGTACATTTCATAGTTGTAATAAATACTATTATCTTCTGTGAGATATGACTAAATATAGACAGTTTGCAACCTAATATTGTGTAACTGCAAGATACAGTCTTCTGTATTGGGTACCTACTTTTATTATAGCTTTCAGTTATTGGTCTGCATTCTGTTTGCTAACTAATATTAAATAACTGCAAGATACAGTGTACTGTACTATGTATATTCCGTTATACAGTTGTCTATCCACATTGGTTGTTTGGATTATTCACATATTTGCCTTTAAAAAAATGTTCACTCTAGGAATCTCAGGGTCCTCCAGTATGACTCTATGGTCAGCATCTTCTAATCATGCTGGGAACCTGGAGATTGCTAGAAAAATGCCTCTCTAGGAATCTCTGGATTCTTCATTGTGATTCTGTAATAGGTTTCCAGTGGTATTTGACCATAGAATCATCCTGCAAGACATAGACATTCCTAGAAAAGTGTTCTTTTAGGTAAAAAATAATATTCTTTATTTACAGTTTTTCACTTGTATGGGGCTCCTTTGCAACCCCAGTGAATGTGTTGGGCTAACTGTCGTTTTCTCTTTTTTAAGTCCACTAGCAGTTATCTGGTAATATTTTATAACTTCAACTGATGTTTTCACTTCCTATTGTGATTTCTTTACACCAAACTTAGTTCCATACATAACTCAGTCACTCATGTGGGTTTCCTCGACTTGGCAGGTGGTTTTTTCTTTGGTGGCTGACTTAATAGGTCAGTCATTCATCTGGGACTCCACCCTGCTTTCAAGTTAAGGAATCCTTTCACACAGACAGGATGACTCAGCAGTGGGGTGTCTGTTCAGACAGCAGAAGGGTGCTTGTGTTAGACAGGAACTTCCACATTCTCTGGAGGTATGTGTTCTAGTGCACCTCTAATGGAAGGCTACTTGGTTTGTACTACTGGGAGTTAGGCTGTAGGTGACTTAACATGTTTGAATCTATTTAGAAAGATCTTGGTTTAATTCTTCATATCCCAGGGATTTTACCAAATAGTTCCAGCTATGTACTTCTCATGTTTTGTGGGAGAACATGTGTAAAAACGTAGATGTGTGCTTTAGACAAATTGTGCTGGTGTTGTAAACACTGAGTATTAATGTAACCATTAATGTGCTCAGAACTGGCAGAGGCACATATGTGACATGGACCCATCCTACAGGACTTAATGATAAGGATCAGCAACTGAAGAGTCTTCAAGCAAATACCATTCATAAAAGATGCTACTTGACCAACTCATAGGTGAAAGTGGAATGTTGGGGAACAGGAATGCTAGCTAGCAACTTCTAGGGAATGATAAAAGATTTAGTCTTTGGTGTACGTGCTCCTCCATGGAAGTACATAGCTAACCAGGGTGAAGAATTTTCATTCAAGACTTTAATTAAAATAGTTTTGGAATTGCTGAAACTATTAATGTTCTCAGTACTCTAGTACCTGTATTTTGAAAATCCTTAACACTAGTAATAAGCAATACAGCAAAACAATTAATACAGTTTGACACCAAGTCATAAAACAAAGGACTCATAGGAATTCTACTTTTATAAGGTCTTTAGCCTTCTCTGCCAAAGAGTGCTGACACTTCCCCAAACTACCAATCCCAGGATTCCATGACATTGAGCCACAGGTAGTATCCGGCTGCATTCATTCCATGTTGTAGGTGCACTCTAAGAGTGTGCAGCAGTACAGAGATAGTCAGTTGGACCCTGTGTTCAGTTTTCTAATCAGTATCTAATTATCTGATGTATATTTATTAACATTTGATCAATAACTGTATCTGATGTAAGACCCATTCAGCCATTAATAAAAAGGGATAAAATAAAAGGGTTTTAAAAAAGGATGCAAGGGGCGCGTTCAGGTGATAGCTCTCTGTTTTTGCTTTCAATAAAAGTTTGAAGAAGGCTCTCTTTGGACTGTCACTGCATAAGGACAGCTATGGTGGAGGCACGGGGCTCTTGCACTCTCCTCAATTCTGTATTGTAAACATTTTCATGAATATTGAATAGGGCTTTAGTGAAGGCTCAATATGTATTTTAAGCAAAAATATATGAAAGTATTTTATTTAACCAACCCCCCCCCCCAAAAAAAAAAACTACCCCACACATTTTAGAAATATGCTACAATACCTTGAATCATAATAGCTTTTTGTCCTATTAGAGGTATTTATTTTACTACTTTAATTCAGGGTGGAGGTCATAGTCTGCTTTGATTTTCATTTATATTTTTAATCTAAAAGATTTTAGAATAATACCTGAATATATTTGCTAAGTTGTTCTTTAACCAAGGAAAACATTTGAATTCTAGGTAGATATTCTTAATGTTGTGCTCATGGCAGTATATATATAAATACATATACAAATCAGATAAAATCTCAAATATATCATAATATTTGCGTCAAAATATTTTAAAGTGAACTTAGCTCTTGCTGAAATAACATTCCTGGTGGCTGAAGTCTTCTCACTACAGAACACTTACAGCAGTGATGGTAGCAACATGCAAATTTCTTTAGAAATCTATTTTTTATATACCCTGGGATTCCTCTCCACTGAAGGTAACTTCAGTCTTCTGTCCATCTTTCATAGAATCATAGAATCAAAGAGTTGGAAGAGACCTCATGGGCCATCCAGTCCAACCCCCTGCCAAGAAGCAGGAATATTGCATTCAAATCACCCCTGACAGATGGCCATCCAGCCTCTGCTTAAAAGCTTCC